GTAGTTTATAGAATCATATTACCAAAGAGGTCACCTTAATACTAAAAAAAAAAAGAAGTTGTTTAGCTTACTAAGCTAGATATTATAATATATATTTTATTCAAAACAAATTAAAACTCATAAAGATACAAGTAAAAAGCAAAACAAAAACTTGTTATTTACAGGTTTTTTCATTGGCAATTTTAAAAAAATTAGCTAGAATGCTCTGAAAATTTCAATTTTTTGATATCTATTAGAATTTTCTAAATATCTAATCAGCTTATCTGAAGCTTAAATTTTTTTTCAAACTTTTATGAAAACCTTTAAATTAAACAAATTTTTTTAAAAAACATACTTAGAAATCTATTTTTAAAACACAAATGCCAACCTTGTTAACAACTGCATCAAATACTATCAACTTTAACTATTTTTACTAGAAGTGTCTTAAAAGCTTCAAAATTGGTATTTTTTTTTTTTAATTTTATCTCCTTTCACTATCCTGAAGATCCTTAGACATTTTTAGGATCTGTCACATCTTTTAAAGACCAGAGTTATCATTCTGCGGAGATTATTGGACAGCAGGTGGCCTCTATATTCATCATCATGCTTGTGAGATAGCTTATGCTCTGTTAAGTCCATCATATGATGTCCCAGGTCTCTGGTTCTGTGGTGTAGAACCTACTATCTTTATTTGATCTGCAGTTCCCTAACTTCATATGACCCATTAGCCAGATCATTCTTCTATTATTCATTTCTTTATATTACTTTAAGCTAGGAAACCTTATATTAATGACATTTCTTGTTAGATTTTCCCTTTTCTGTGTACTGCATAACCTTTGTGACTATATTACATGACTTATTTATCATTGTAGTAATCTGTTCAAAGTGGAAAGCTTCTCTTAAAGATCATTTCCAATTATGGTTCTGATATAGCTTTTATCTCCTAGTTGGACTCGAACTGGCAACCTTGCAATTATGACCCTCGGAGTGCTAATTACTGCACTATTGACTCAGAGGTTTTAGAATTGGTATTTATAAAGATGCAGCATATATATTATATTTTATTTCTACAAACAGACAACAAAATAATTATATTAATACAAAACTTAGAGGTAATATTAAAAATAATTATTACTTTAAAGCACCAGAATCAAGCTCTATTATTACTTACTTCTGTAACAACTACTACAGTCAGACTCCTTTATAGTCACACCTTTGGGATACAAAAAACTGTGATTATATAGAGGTGTGATTAATATAGAAGTATTCTCTATATAGTTACAGTTATATTTAAAAAAAAAAAGGTGGCTATATAAAGTTTTTTTTTAATAATATAATATATAGATATATATCTTTTGCACATGGTATATACCATTTTCATAAGAAGGTTCTCTTTTTAACTTAACCATAATTTACTCAAATTGTACAATTTTTTATTCTAAAATTTTTTTATACAATGTGTTTAATACAGTGTATCTTATGGCCCTATATGTATGCTCATGAACATTTCTGATGATATTTTTATGTAATGCCATGAAAATATCAAAAATTTTAATCAGAAACATTATGGGCATAGGACCATGAGATATAACAGATATTTCACAGTATGCCATAAACATCATATGTTATTATGGCTGTGCTAACCTATGATATTCACAACAGCCTGTGAAATATATCTTATGTAAATGCTGCCAAAGGAAATGGGCAGTTTGGCTTGCAATTGTATTTTGTATTGAACGTAATCTATTTAATTTATTAGGGATTGTGTCTGGTACAAAAAATAATCAAAAGCCTGAACTGCCTTTTTCTCTTGGCAGCACTCATCTAATGTTTCTTTGTATGTGCAAAAATCTAAGATTTTTGCATTTATTTAAGCTGAAAATAAAATTTTATCTAATTAAAAAGTAATTTTCATACTTCGTATCAGTTACTTATCAGTTTGTATATGTTTTAATTTAATAACTTTCACTATAGATATAAGTTCTCAATTATCACAATATCCTAATTGTACATTTTTGCTCATACGTTTAACATGTCACCAACCTATTTACCACTTTGATTTCATTTATAGAATATACATATCCAGCATACAATAGTTCCACACTATAATAGATGAATGTGCCCTTGCATAACTTAGATTGCCAGTGCCTTCTCAGAATAAATCAGATCATCTTTGTAGTATTCTTTGAAGAATTCTAAGTTCAGATCACAGTTGCTTTCAAGTAAAATAAAACAATGCTTAGTAGCATTTGTCATTATTTTTTATTTTTGCATTAATGGTTAGGATGGCAACTCAACTAAGTAAATCAAAAACTATTGATTACTTTACTATGATCAGATTTTTATTAAAATTAAAGAATGTTCGATCAAACGATTTTAAGACTTTTAATTGTAAAGAAAAGTATAAAATTCTAAAGTTTTTACACAAAAATTTTACTTATTTATTTAATGTCTTTCAATTGAAAACACTGCCAGTACTGTTCTAAAGTACTATGTGGAATTTTTTGCAAAGTTCTAATTAAATTTGACTTGCATGCTTTTTTCGTTCTAATTGATGAAATTTAAAGCATTCTGCAAGATGAATACCCCAAACTCAAATATTAACAGAGATTTTAAACACAACTTTATTTTTAGACATCTTACAAACAGTTTGTGAAAGTTTCAAAATAATTCCATATCTCAATAATGAGTTGAATATTAAGAATATATCACTTAATAATAATGTAATATTGTGATACAGTAATTAAATTGATATGTAATATGGCGATAATTTTTATTTTATAACATAAAAAATCTGTAATATGTCAAATTCCAGTTTGCTTACATAGTTTTGATTCATTTAGTTGAGTTACTACCCCTAGTTAATAGTGCATCTGACGTGTACATCAAGAAGGATCTGTCATTTATTCAGCCAATACATATTAAATACACTTAATACACTTAGTATTTAGCATATACCTGACAGATATGAATACTCTATAAATATATATTCTTACTAGATCAGATCCTTTTTCTCTATTTTACAAGAAAAAAGATATACATTGCATAATATTGATTTTAAACAATGAAATACTACATTGTATAGATATGCAAACATTAAAATATTGGTAATTCAGTTTTTATTACATATAAGCAACTGGTTTGAGTGCATCTTTAGCAGAGTGAAGAATGCCTTATTCCAAAATCAAATCTTTGTTCGTTGTTTTTATTATTTTAATGTACTAGAAGACGCCTAAAACAATAAACGGGTATTTTTTGTTCTGATTATTAACCAAAGCCCTTTTTCTTTTTTCACTGTTTACACTATAATTCAGATTAACTCAATATGTATGTATGCACACCAGTCGAACAATAGGATTTCGAGATAGCCGCTTATGGTTCTATTCAATTTTTCACTAAAGATAAGCTTATTTAGAAATAATTTCTAAAAGAATGCTATGCATGCATGTTGTTTTAGAAGTTATTTCTATATTAGATATTTAACGGCTAAAGTGAATAAGGCTATTGTATTGTACATTCGCAGATTAATATAAACCACGTTTCTTATAAAAAATCCAAAAGTTCATTAAAAAAAGGTTCACCTTAACATATAAATAAACAAGCCATAAAATAACTACTATAGCATTTGTGCCTAAGAGCATCCATTTTGTGGAAAAAAAAAGTACTATACCATTTTTTTAAATCTACAGTGGCCAAAATTATGTTACCTGAACCAGTACCTAAGAAAACACGCTGTTGTATAAACAACAAACAAAAAAAAGAAATCTGTGAGTTTGCTAAAAACAACCCAACCTATAAGCAGCATGAGATTGCAAATGAGTTTATGAACCATTAGCCTGATTTGAGAATTGATTGGTCAACCATATCAAAAATCCTAAAAAAAAGTGATGAGTATTAACAAGTTGAAGATGATATACAAGCTGAAAATACTTTTCGCCATCGTTCCGTAAAGCATCTGAAGTTAGAACTTGCAATGAATTTGTGAGTGAAATGTGTTTCAGCCGAGGGAATAATTTTATCAGAATCAATAATAAAAGAAAAGGGTCAACAATTCGCACAAACATTTGACATATCTGAAGAATCGCTAACATTTTCAAATGGGTGGATTTCTAGATTTAAAAGACGCAATGGATTAAGAAAAGTTACACTACATGGCAAAGCAGCAAGTGCATCCCTCGAAATGTTACCTACAGAGTGCATCAAACTGCAAGAACTTCTCTTCCATTATGATCCAGAAGATATCTACAATGCTGATGAAACGGGTCTATTTTATAGATTGCTTCCCAACCAAACACTTTCTAAAAAAAAAAATTATCTGGAAAAAAATGATAAATTTGAAAAAAAAGTTAAAAATTATAAAAAAAAAAAGAAAAGGATTTTACTAAAATGCATCTATGGTGTTTTATACTTATGCATACATTATTTTAAACTGGCTAATTCATCGGTGTGTGGTGTTCTAAGCAAAAATGCTTTACACCTCCAAAATCCTTCCCAAACCCTAGTTCTAACTATAAGTATTAACACAAGCAATGTAAAAAAAAATTGTGTTAAACATTTTATATACAAAACCTATAAAAACAGAAAATTTAATAAAAACATATAATAGGTATAAAACATCATATAATAATTGAAAGAGGAAATTTAAAAAAGAAAATTAAAAATTTTTTTTAGGATAAAACAAGAGTAACCGTACTACTATGCACCAATTCAACTGGCTCCGATAAATTATGCCCACTAGTAATTGGCACTTCTAAAAAGCCATGATCATTTAATGGAATAAATATATCACAGCTGCCAGTAACATATAGAAATAATAAAAAAGCATGGATGAGAACTGATATTTGGGAACAATGGTTGAAATTTATTGACAATGGATTTCGCATTGAAGGTAGGCAGGTCTTACTTTTGGTTGATAATGCAGCTTTATACATGGCCCTAGAAACAAGTAATACAATTGAAGTCCAAGATATGGCTGAAGAATCGACATCAGAATATTACTCTTCAGAAGAAATTGAGGAACTTTAAGAGCAGCCCCAAGAAAGGCCACAAGGAAGGCCACTAGAAAGGCCACTAGGAAGGCCATGAGAAAGGCCACAAGAAAGGCTACAAGGAAGGCCACTAGGAGGATCCCAAAGACCTAATCCTATTGGTTCTGGCCGATCGAGATGAATTTCAAGTACTTTGAGTTTTACAAATATTACTGTATATTTTCTTTCACCAAATACTACTGTCCACCTTTAACTCATGGATGCTGGCATAATTAAAAGCTTCAAGTCAAAATACAAGAACCTGTATTGTCATTATTTGATCAAGTGGTTTGAAAAAAATAAAGAACAAAGGTAAGAATTCATTGATATATAGCCAACTCCAGATATAACGAACCTCTATATGGGGTGTCACGCATTAAAAGGGTCCATTTTATATTTAAATCAGTTTGAGTAAATCAGATTTAAATGATAATCAACAAATAGAAACTACAAGTTCATTTTTATTATACAGTTAGCCCCTATTACTTATGACAAACTTTTTTATTAAATAGATACCTATTCAAAAATCAAATAAATTTAATTTTCCAAAATTGTAAAAATGAGCCTTTTTAATATGTATCACCCCATATAACGAGTTCTGGATATAATGAACTCAATTTAAAATTTCTAATGGTTTGGTATAGAAATTATCATGGTCCTTAAGAAAACATAATTTTCAGAATAAACTTTCTTTTTTCAGAACTGTTAATTCGTTATAGAAGGAGTTAACTAAATTTAACCACTTGCATACTAATAATTTCTATAAAATTCAGGAAACTTAGCTTAAAAAAAGCCATTGATTTTATTTCTGATACTTGGGAAGATGTGAGCGAGACTACTATAAGGAATTGTTGGAGAACTACCAAAATTATAGCTGAAATGAGTGAGACAGAAGGTAAGTTTGAGGAAGAACCTCAAGAAGAAACAACCGAAATCAATGAAGCTGCTATGGTAGTGGGTGACCTTTTACCTGCAACCAACCCAGCGGTCCAAGAACTGGAAGATAATATCGAAGAATATATTCATATGATCAGCCAACCAACTGCAACTGAGGACTTGTTAACTGACAAAGGTATTATTGAAATGGTGATAGATGAATTTCGTGAAGATGACAACGCTAATGATGATAATGACGAAGAACCACTCCCTCCTCCAATAACCATAACTGAGGCTATTGAAGCCTTGGAAAAGGTTATAAAATATCAGGAAAGTCTCGATGTTAGACATGGATTTGATGATAATGAGTTAAAAACATTATGAAAAAAGCTCAGAGAATGGCGATATGAAAAGGAAAAAAACAAAAAGCAATCTTCACTCTTATCTTTTTTTAATTATACTGATGCTGCGCTCTAAGTTGAACTTTCAATTTTGTTTGTATTTTTGGCTTTCTTTTGTATGTTACTTGTACTTATTTGATTTTAGCTACAGTCAAACCTCTCTATAATCACACCTTTGGTTTAAAGAATTTGGTGCTTATAGAGAGTTTGTGCTTATATAGAGGTTCAATTTTATAAGTTTTATATAAGTTGGTTTTAAAAATTTATGTAATTATAAGCAAATGTGACTATAGAGAAGGTGACTATAGAAAGGTTTGACTGTATTTAAATAAATGATAACCTAGAAAAAAATTTTTTAATCTATGTGCTTAAAAAAAAAAGAAAAATAGTTAGAAAAAAAATCAAGTAGTTGCTTCGTCAAATTATCTAACATATCTTTTGAACCAAACTAGTACTCCACAAAATTTTGAATTGAATCAAATATTTGAATTATTTGATCAAATATTTGAAATTATTTGATTCAAATTCAAAATTTGGTTGGAGTACTAAACCAAACAAATTATTAAGGGTGATTGTTGATCATAGCTTACTTCTTTTATTTCCCTTATTCGCCTAGCCAGATAGCAAAGTATATGTTGCTGAATTCTATATTTAATAGTTAACACCTATGCTTCAATCAACAGCTTCATTGCTAGAACTAAAGATGCTGGTGAAATTAATTTTATCAATTCATCAATAGTGGTAAAGTTATTTCACCACTCTAGATTAATTATACTGGTATCGTTAGAACCACTAACCAATTTGAATACATATTATAAATATGAAAAATAACACAGTTTATAGTTATGTGCAAGTCCAGCTTCTCTAACTGCTACCTATATACGTACATATGTTATAAAGGTGAAAAGTATCATAAGAACATCAGAGGTGAGTATGTAGTAAAGTAGTACAGTACAGAAACACAAATTAGGATGAACATGTGAAACCATGATAGTATATATGTATATATGATTTGTAAAAGAAAAAATTCATCAAACCAAAGATACTATTCTATTACTTGTTCCTACCCTAATAAGAAAAAAGAACAATGCTAGTGCTTGCCCTAGCCCAAACCATAAAAAAGAAGTTACTCATAAAAGTTGAATTTTACAAATCTGTTAACTGTAAATACATATGATTAAAAATTAGTTTAAGTTTCATATGCCTGTTCGAATCCATATCACTATACAATACTATACTGAATACCTGTTGAATTTTACAAATCTGTTAACCATAAATACATACTCAAAAATTAGTTTAAGTTTCATATGCTTGCTCGAATCTGTATCACTATACAATACTATACTGAATACCTGTCAAGGATCGTTCAAGACTAGTTTACCAAGTGTACGTAAGAATATATATAGCAAAAAATTTCAATATCTGAGCACTTTTATAATAAAGCATAAATATGCATTCATATTTTATATGATACAAAAAAGTAAAACCCATGATTATGTGACTTTACAGAGGTTAATTTTATATATGTATTATATAAGCAGTTAATAAAAAATTGTGATAGTGACTATAAAGTGATTGTGCTTATATAAAGATATAAATAATATTAAAAATAGTTGGTAAAAAAATATATGTAACTGTATTGAATTTGTGACTATAGAGGAGGTGACTATAGAGAGGTATGACTGTATACTTACTTTATATCAACAATTAATTAAATCTACAAACAACATAAAATGATCTCTATTGTTAGAAAATTTAAAGATAAAAAAATTCTTGCAAACAATATTGCAAACTCTACTAAATTTGTCTTATTATCACCTATAGCATCCTTTTTACCTACTACATATAACCACTTTTGTGCCAAATATAACTTACTTATTATCTGCAAGAAATGAACAACTAACACTATTTGGTATCTGATACTATTCTATATAACAACAAACCTTATTATAAAACTTGTACAAAAATCTAACAACCTATTTAACAATCAAATTTCTCTTCAACATTTATTCAAAAACTTTTATAATTAATTAGATCTTATAACCTACTAGTATTTGAACTTATTTTTACAATCTTACTTACAGATACTACTAGTAATACAAATGATATAAATGTAGATAACAATGCAATCAACAGCAATAATTAGCAACAATTACAATAGCAACTTTAATTACACTTTAATAAACAATAGCAACAACAACAATAGCAATAGTAGTCAAACAAACAATAGCAACTACAAATACAAACAAATACTAACAACAATCAATCTAAAATTAAAGCAAATTCAATATTCAATTGGCTTGCTAATTTTCTAATCTCTAATAATATAAAAAACAAATTATAACTTTAAACAGAATTTTTTTAAAAAATTTTTAACTTTTTTAAATTTTATCTGTATGATTTTTATTTTGAAAAAGAAATCAAACCTAAAACTTCTAAGCAAAAAACTTTTAAAGCCAGCTTTTAAAGCCAGCTTTTAAAGCCAGCTTTTATTATATTATTCATAAAATAGCTAAAGACAGGCCTCAATTTCTAATTAAATTTATTTAACAAACAAATTTTAATATTAACAAAGCTATTATTATTCTATTTATATATTGAAAAAACTCTTAAAAAACTTATTTTTGCTTTTACTATAATCTTATTCACAAAACTCAACTATTCTAAAATCTTTATTTTCTTAGCTACTATTTTTTTATATACAAACCAAAACTTAATTCAACTTTGTATCAATATTGTCTATATTTATTTATATCTCTTAAACAACTATTAAGCAATTGATTATATTAAATTTGCTAAAGACTTCCAACTTTGATCTAAAAGATTTAATATTATATTTAAAATAACTAACTTTGATAAGAATAATTAGTACTTTATAATTTAATTTGATAGCAAATTTAATATTTACTTTGATTTTAATATTCCAAATCTCTCTTTCTTCACAAACCTAATAGTTCATTATTTGCAATTTATTAGGCTATTTAAAACAATAGTTTAAACAATTTTTTTCAATCTATAATTGACAATTTATCTAATTATTAAATGATATTAAAGTTTTTAACTTTTTAAAATACCAAATTCGACAACAATCCATTCTTCACTTTAAAGAAACCTTACCTACAGAAATAAAGTTTTAGCAATCTAACAACTTACAAGAATGCTAAAATAAAACTATAAAACTAGCCAACTTTTATATACTTACTTGTAAGAAAAAAATTGCTCTGTTTTTTTTCAGTATTTTATCATTTATTGCTAATAACAACTATAATATTAATATAAAAAACAAATATAAATTCAAAATTTAAAAAGAAATCATATGACTAAAGTCAAATAAATTGACACATCTTCTATAGACTATTAGTTAAATTACTATTAAATTTGACAATGTTAAATAAGATTTTTTTAAAAATTCTTTATAGTTTTTTAACTTAAAACTTAGTATTAATGGTGTTTGTAATCGATGTTGCATTAGTTGATAAAATCAGTTTAGCTAACTTAGTTAGCCAATTTTTCAAAAAATCGACTTAGTCAACTATATAATATAATCAAAAAAAAAACAACTACAAGACAAAAATTCTGAAATTTCTAAAAACTTTTAAAGTTTAACTTAATAGAATTTATGATAATTAACTCTGATATAGTTGGCTAAGCTAATTTTTAAATATCAACTTAGTTAGTTGATAAATAATAATTGACTACAAACACTAAGTACTAATTAATTATTAGTAAAAATGATTTACAGAAAAATTAATAATACAGTCAAATGTTAAATAAATTAATGTACATTAATTAACTCAACATTACTATTTCGCAGGCTAAACCTCCCCTCCTGTTGGATTGTGCAGATATTATCATAGTGTATATCAAATTAATAACTTGTGCATCATTATGAAACAATCACAATTATTAAGAAAATGATTGCTTTCAAATTAACAAAAGTTAGATATTGAACTTTTAAACAAACATTAAACATAGAATTTTTATTTGAAATTTATTTTCTTTTGTCTCGCAATTATTAAGCTAACAACAGCTAACAATCATTAGACA